AATAAATTAATTAATTTTTTAAAACTACACATTTTCCAAAGCAATTCACAAACAACTGAATTCAAGCCAGAAATTAAAAGCAATCACCTATTATAACAATGGTTGCAGATAGATATTAACAGTCCTTATATATACTCTACATTATTCATCACATTGCGAGAAAATACATTTAAAGTACAAAAGCTAGCAGGTCAGGCATCCTGTTAGAAGCTCTCAGTTACAGCATGCCAGCAGCAGCAAGAAAGACCAATGGGATGACAAAGGAGAGATATTGGCAAGAATTTTAATGAGGGTAAAAGGTCTAATAGTTCATTCCCATTACTTGCTATACTTAGTTTTGTTGTAGAGAGTTCACAAAATGTAAGACAATAGCACAAAATCTGTGATTTTTATGCCTTGCTGTTTTCTATTATAAGTCTTAACCCTGTGACAGTGATAAAATACATAGTAAATAAGTTTTAGGGCCTTTTTCTAGCCAACTATGCAGTATCTCAAGAGTCTAATGTTAAACACTATCAACTACATTTTTTTTTTCCCAAAAAGAAATATAAAAGTTCAAGGTTACAACAAAGCTGGTGAAAAGGTGCATCTAGGGATAAACACTGGGTTTGATACAATAAAATAATCTTGAAAGAATGCATTTTAAAGTATTTTAATAACATATATCTAACAAAGATTAACAAAGTAGGTACAAAACATTACAGAGTTTTATTTTTGGGGGGTATTATATACAGACACATCTTCAATCCAATTTAAATGGTCCACTTTTGTGATGTCCTTGAGATCTTGGGAGATATAGTAGATAGAATATTTTAGTAACAGTAAAAGAAAACAAACCTATCTAGTTTAAGGGAAAAAAAGGGAAATAACTTCAAAGTTATACTAACAAGTTCCAAGGTATCCTATGGGCTCAATGGCTGGGATGCAGTCAATCTTCAGAAGCAGAGTGGCAGCTGCCCTCCCTGTTAATTTGGGTTGAATGATCTCTTTCCCCGGTCTCTATGTCAGATTCAGTGTTGGCTCTGTTCTGTTGTTTGCACAGCTCTTACACTCAAAAAATCAAAATACAAAAAATTAAAAAACAACAACAACAACAACTGAGTTCTGGTACCCAAGTGGTCAAGAAGCTAACAGATAAAAAACAATGTTCTTTGTCACAATTCCAAATCTTCATTGGGAATTGATTCTGATTGACCCAGCCTGTGTCTTATGTCCAAACATCTGACCTGTGAGCTGTCACACTGAAATATTAATAACATAAGGAGAGTCCCACAAACTCATCTAGAGAATATCTCCCATATGAAATAATGATTTATAATTAAGAATAATTAAAGTATTTAGGATAACATATTTTTCCATTCAACAAATAATGAAAAGCTACAAAACTTTAGACACTGTTCTAGACACTGAGTATTCAGATAGTAAAAGAGATGAAGAGAATGACGGTTAACCTGCTTTCATGAATCACAGACATTAGAGTGGTTTCATACAAAACAAAACAAGGACAAAAAACAAACACTATAACCTTTTTAGTCAGAGATGAAAATAAGGATGGGAAATATTTTTAAAGCAAAGATAATTTCTTAAGTTCTTAATGACAACCTAAATTTCAAAACGGAATTCAAAATCCCTATCTATGATGTCTTTCTATACACATTGTAGATATGGACCATTCTTAAAAGAAGGGACACTGCATACCTCTATAAGTGGGTCAATGCATTACAGTTATATGTAAACATATATGAGGGCTATATAAGCCATAGCATAAGTTAATTAAAGTTCCCAATTCACTCATACAATTCAAAATTTATAAAAAATGGTAACATAATGTAAAATAACTATTAATAGATTTCCTTTACATGAACTCTACTTCTTGCAAGTTATCAATATTGTACAGATTATGTATTTTCTAGGAAGCAAGCTACTAAGAACACAAATGAATTACATTTTATGTTAAATGGAAAGCTCTCATATTGTAAGGTGCAGTTAGAAATAATAGCTCATCCAATGCAGTAGCATGAAGATTTCAGCTAACAAGACTAGATTCAGAGCTCATGAATATAAGCAGTTAAGATTTTATACTGAATTTACTGAAAAACAGAGGATGGGACATGTTGAGAATTTTGACCTTGGACCACTTCTTGGGCTAATACAGGTCTGTCTCCCTTTACTCTTTCATCTAATCCCTAAACGCTAGTTTGCCATTTGGGTGCTGATGCCATTGGGTGCCGGGTGCCATTTGGGTGCTACATATTTATCTATAGTACCAAGATCTCAATCTCTCCAACTTAAGACTTTATTCCATCCCACAGTATATCTTTATCCACACTACCCTGTAAGCCCCATGAGAGGAAGAGCACTATTTGATTCATTTGAATGAACATGTCTAGAACCTAAAGCAGTAACAGCAGGTACACATTTGACTCTGACTTAGGGCCTTCTTTCTAAGCCTTAACTTATATTAAACCCACTGGAATGTCCTCTCACCCACCTCCATTGTGAGCCCCTATTCATTTTTTCATGACTCAATCCAAGCACATCTCTGCTGAAATCTTTCCTGAATCCTTAGAATTGCCTATTCCTTTCTGCGTTCAGCACCCACACTTACAATTAATACAAGACTATACCTTCATTATGACTCTGATTTCTTATTTCTGTATTGTCAACTACAAAATTTTGTATTTGCATGTAAATATATATATGCACACACACTCATAGATACAATATATATTACAAATCTGTAACACTCTATAAGACTGCAATATTGTTGAAGCCAAGGACAATAGATAACTTGCTATTGTATCTTTGGGCTAAGACTATTTGTTGAGTGAATGATATACAGCACAATTAGAAATGATGATTTTCCAAAAGAACAAAAGATACAAGTGAAACAAAAAAAAACAGTGTCACTAGTAAGCCAAAAACAAAAAGAAAACCTATTGCAGTTATTGTTAAATAGATTAAAACCAAGATATTTTCATGAGTTTATAGTATAAAGTTTACATGAATTTTTAGAGGTGTTTCTTAGGAGCCAATAATTACTTTTTTAAACAAATAACTTATTTCTCGCTCCAAGTATAAACCTTTAGTCCCCCTTATTTTTTTCTTTATAAAATCTGTTAATTTTACTAACTTTTTTTTTAACTTCAAAATATTTTCTAAAAAAGTAGAATATCCAACAGTATAGACCATGATGCTCAAAGATTTATATGCTACTTTCATATTTCTAAGATTAAGTTAATTTTCAATCATTCTATTTTGCAATGTTAAAAGAGACCAAGAATGATAAAATTATAAAATATATAATAATCAAGATAATTTTATATTATTTAAAGACTCTCACTTACAGTACTGATGCTATTTTTTTGTTAAGCCAGTGAAATCTAGTTCCATATAAAGCAGGGGAAATACAAGAAGAAAAACTAAGACCTCAGATTGCCTTTTAAAATTTTATTATATTATTCTGCTCTAAAAGATCATTTAACCTAGTTTCCCTGTTTTTGAAAACATCTCTCAGTTTTTCCTTTTCTATAATATCACTGAGTTTCTTGACATTTCTAACTAAATCTACAAATCTATAGTATTTGCTACCAAGTTATAATTTTGATTTTGAAGAATACAGTTTATCTGAAAATAATCAAGACAGATTAGAATACTGCAAGCAAATTTTAATAATTAATACTCATATGCACTCCTTCAAAGAAGTTTTTCTAGGACAGGTGTACCTGTTCATTTCTCAAAACAATATTGCAAAACAGAAAAAAAAAAGCTATTATTTTAAGGTCTTCTCACTCAAGGATTTAGATACATTTTGCTATCTACTCTTGATAAACAAAGATGTCATAAGTAAACATCATAGTTAATACAAACTACACAACTTGTAGAATTAGATTTCTAGCAACCAAACAACAGAATATAGAAACACCTTAATTCCCTATATCAATACTAGTATGACAGTCATTTTAAAAGCACATACTGTAAGTCTCATAGTGTTACTTAAGTTTTGAAGTGGTACATTTTCTGAGGTTGTTATTATTTCTAGACATGTTTATTGCATTCAAAGTATTTCAAAATCATTATTTTTTACTTCTTGTCTAAGTATAGAATTATTAAAATTATCACAGTTCTCTAAATAATTTACCATCTACCAAATAGTTTATAGAATCAGTATTCAAAGCATTAATCATATTTTCATAGATATAAGACAGTGCTCCTGAGAAGTGTGTAAATACTATTGAAAATAAGATTGAGTATATTCTAGGAATGCTATTATTTAAAATATATCCTACTAATTCTTATATAAAGAATAAATTATCAGTTTTACAAAATGCCACATCCTCATCTCACTTTGTCAAAGTTCCTTTGAAGTTCAGATTTTCCTATACTTTTCCAGTTGAAGCAAAACTTAAGAAACTGCAGGCATTAAGTACTAATAACAGGAATAACAGGTAAGGATAAATGAGAATCAAAACAAGTCTGCAAAAGGACTTGTTGTCCCTGGGTGATGTCATATATGTGTGTTTGCAATTACATACATGCATATGTCAACTTATATATCTATGTGTGATTTTCTACTAGTCTACTTTAAGTAATTTGTTGGTTTTGAAAAACAGATGTCACTTTTCTTCTAAAATTAACAGTATTACTCTCATTATGGTGATATAAAATAGTTTAAAAATTCCAAAGTGGCCTACAGTTTTCCTCTTGGCTGACATTCAGAAAAAGACACACCCGCTGGAAGTCATGGCCTACACTCTGACAGAATCTTTCATCATCTTAAGACAATAGTATTTGTCCTAAACTCAAGGTGTCAATCATGATGGCATGTCACTCGTTTTCTTTCCCAGAGTGTGCCTTGGAATGTCTTATCCCCTCCATGCCTATAGTCATGGTCAGGCAGAGCAGGAGAGCATAGCCATCAAATACAAGAAGCTCTTCGGTCTTTATGCATCATGACACCACTGTCCATTCACAAAAAGAAGAGAAAGAGTCAGCTTTACCCGCAGAAAGGAGAGGTCCCGGTTGTGCTCGATGCTGGTGATCTCCAGGTTGCCCATGACTACCTCGCAGTTCTCATAGTATTTGCGCAAGGCTCGGTACTGCTGCTCCAGGTCGGAGAGAGAGCTCAGCTTATTCTCTGTGCCTGCACACACTGTCGAGACAAGAAGAAACATGGGATGTTATGCCAACTTCGTACGACAGGAGCCATGATAATATCTCCCTCATCTCTGCTCTACAACAATCTACTCCAATTTCCTGAATGCAAATATTTTGAATCCTTTTAAAATCCATAATCACACACTGATAAATATGTTCACTTTCATTTTTTAGTTTTACTGAATCATAATTGACATCATATTGTGTAAGTTTAATGTATGAATATGTGTGGTTTTGATACACTTATATATTGCAAAATGATTACCACCACAGCGTTAGCTAACATCACCATCATGTCATTTAACTACCATCGTTGTGTGTGTGTATGTGTCATGAGAACACTTCAGACTTTCTCTTCCAACAATTTCAAGAATGTAATAGAGTATTATTAACTATAATCACCATGGTGTACATTAGATCCACAGAATTTATTCATCTTAAAACTGGAAGTTTGCACTTGTTGACCCAAATCTCCCCATTTCCTCATTCCCAAGTCGCTGGTAGCCACCACTCTTCTCTCTGTTTCTATTAAGTTTGGCTTTTTTAGATTCCACATATAAGTGTCATAATGCATTCACACTCATAAATTGTATATACTAACCACAGAGACTAAGAAGGCATGGGTTCCACAGACACATATAACAAGGAGATAAATAACCATATTTGCTGTGAGTATATAAAGCACAAATATATAAATCAAATATATTGATTTAATTTCACTCAAACCAGATTTTCTTTCAAACTTATAATTCATTCTACACATATATATATGTAAATAAAAATCAGAAGATGATAAAAGTAAAAATTTTATTTAAAAATGAGATTTCTGTGTTGCAAACTAATCTGATCTTAGTAAATTTTCTACAGAATTAAAACTTGGGCTTTTAAGCCCTCGAAAATGCTACCTTTTAAAATGCAAATATTAAAAATCATAGACTGAAACATTTATAAACATATACTACAAACAATAAGTGGGCTAATTTGCTTCAGTCGTGTCTGACTCTGTGACCCCATGGACTATAGTCCGCTAAGCTCCTCTGTCCATGGGATTTTCCAGGCAACAATAGTGGAATGGGTTGCCATTTCCTCCTTCAAGGGCTCTTCCCAACCCAGGAGTCAAAGCTGCATCTCCTATGTCTCCTGAATTGGCAGTCAGATTCCTTATCGCTGAGCCGTCAGGGAAGCCCTAATGTACTCTAGAGACCCTAAAAAGCACTCTTAATACACGATTTTTATTTTTACTGCTCACAGAAGTTTTATAACTTGTAAAATGTCTGTTGAGAAAAAGTTACTATTATGTGGGCTTATGAAATGTATATTTCAATTATTTTCAATTCCAAAGATGACAAGCTTATATTTTAACGCAACTATTGATGAGGGTAATTAAGGATCGATTAATAAACTTACCATTTCTAAAATGTATATAATGTCACATTACAATTTATATGTAGCTTATGTTATACACGTTTCCTTTGGTTGAAAATAAAACATGTACAAAAATCAATACGTAAACATCTAAATGAAAAGGTTTCTAAAATATTAAGTGCATTCTGACCTTTCCTGTAAAAGCTTAAACAATTTTGGCAGAAAGTTTATCACTATAATTGTAGTGCCTATGTATTTTTGCATCTTTCTCATTCTGCATATACAAAAAGAATATAGAATATGAAATTATTATTATTATTGCAAAAATCTCTTTATATAAGACACAAATGCTGTAAGCTTTTTGAAGACAGATGAAATATATTAATCATTATTGTCTATCTGCTGAGCTATATAGCATGATGCTTTGCAAAAAAATATTTAATAATTAATTTAATTGCCATAAAAATAAGCATAACTTGTATTCAGAAAATAAACTGCAAATCAGAAAAGTTTTCATTGTTCAAAAGTGATCAGCTATATTTTGTAGTACTATGTGAAAACAGAAAATTAGAATAAGTATATTTAAAATTATCTTTCATTAACACAAAATATAATTCAATAAGCAGATATTCTAAATAATCAGAATATTCTCAAACATTCTGATTTGGGTAGTTTCTGGTTAACACAGTTTCAGTTAAAAAATATTTTTGCCTCAGTGAGGCTTTCCTTATATTTATGTTGTAGTCAAGCTATCTAAATCCAGTAATACATTCCTCCTAACTTTCATCTTGACAGACAGACTTGATTTTTTAAGAACTAGTTTGGATAGATGCATAAAAAATCATTTGTATTTCTCTTCATGAAGGCTCCACTGAATGCCTCACAACTTCCATTTGTCAATCGATTTTACAATCAGGCAATGTATACAAGACAATGCTTAAACCATCAAGTTTCATTGATTTCACAAAGCTGTTTATCAAACAAAATTGAAAAATCTTTTTCACCAGCCAAAACAAGTTTAACAAAATTCAGTCCCCTTTGCCAACGTTATTGAAAAGTCCTTAAACTATAAGTTCACAATAATCAAGCTTCAAAAATCCTGAATTTACATATGCTCCCTAGAGTTTTCATTTCAACTGAACTCCAGGAATAAAGCTATATGTGAAGCTTTAATAAAATCACCAATTTTTCTATTTAGTATTGATTCCATTACAAATGTAGCTATAGTTGCAAACATGGGCTTTTCAGACTTCTTAAGATTTGTATCCAACAGTGAGTGACCTACATGATCCTCATTCAGTAAAAAAAAAAAAAAAAAAAGACTATAATTAGGAGTTTCTAGCAATTTACAAAGGTTGGTTAACAAAATTATTCATTTATTCATGGGGCAAATATATTAGAAACACAAAGAAAAAACATTAACAATATCCATATTAATACTAAAAAATCAATGACTGCCTCCAGGCTTATTATGACTATGGAAACCAGCCCTCCATTTGCTTACTCAAGATGACAAAAAGAGGGAAAAAAATAATTGAATCAATATTTTTGCCTAACTTTCAAATCAAATGCCTATATGAGATATTGAGCAATGAGTAATTATTTAATTATCATCTACTGTTGACCTAGTATCATGAAAAATACACACTGATTAAAATGCCCAAGCTTTCTCATAAGGGTTCATGAAGTTGTTCATGCACACAGTAAGGAAATCAGTAAGCAGTATATATAAGCCATGTATATAATATGTGTATAACATTCAGGGACTGTCTGCATAAAGAAATACATAAAGAAATATTTGGTAACTTGATAAAAGTTCTCTTTTTTAAAAGAAATCTGATTTAACACTAAGTACTTTCTCTTTCAGAAAGGTTACCATAATAAACATACTTTAGCTTGATGTACCCTCTTGGGTATTAAAATTTTCATTAAAAATATAAAATAAAGAAAATATCAGAAGTAGCACACAACTTCAGAGACTACTGAGTGCTATTATAGTTACACAAAGAATTCCTGCAGTTCTATGTTCAAAATATATATTGAAATGGGGCCAAATTTGTTACTACTTCTTCGTGTGCATGCTAAATCACTTCAGTTGTGTCACACAACTGAACCTTAGGACTGTGTCATGAACCTTTGGACTATAGCCTGCCAGGCTCCTCTGTCCATGGGATTCTCCTGGCAAGGATACTGCAGTGGGTTCCCATGCCCTTCTGCAGGGAATCTTCCCAATCCAGGGATCAAACCCTGTTCCCTTATGTCTCCAGCCTTGGCAGGCAGATTCTTTACTGTTGAGCCACTGAGAAAGCCACTTCTACTAAAGTTATTTAATCCAAGACACCAAGGTTATATCTGCCCTAGACTTTTGACAGGAGCCTCCTAACTGACTTAATTCCTTACTATAATTCTTTGTCCAGATGCCAGAATGATCTTTTTAAAAAACATCAATCATTCACATCATTCTCACTGAAAACAATCCTTGGTTTTTAATCGCATTTATTAAAAGATTCAAACTTCATACTATAACTTGTAGAATGTATATTAGGATCTTTACTCAAATGTCACTTTCAGAAAAGCCTTTTCTGACTATCTTATCTAAAATAGCAGATTCCCATTCATCATGCTCTGTCTTTTTTGCCTTCTTGATTTTTGTTTTACTGCTATCTGAAATTATATGCTTGCTTGTTTTCTTGCTTATTAAATATCTCTATATTAGAATGCAAGCTCCAGTGTTAGAGGCCTTTCTCTGTTCAACACTTAAAGACACATAGCAGACTATCAGTCAATATTCATTGAATAAATAAAATGGACTTTGGAGAAACAATCAGCACAGGATCAAATGCTGTTCCTTCCACATTTAAGAGCTGAATGAACTTGAGCAAGTCACTTAGTCACTTGGAGTCTCTCTGTCTGTGTTGAATGCTCCTGACAATAAACACAATTTAGAGGTGAATAACACAGAGCCTAAAGCCAGATGTCCAGCATTAAAGTCTAGTTCAATAACTGGCCTGCAATTAACCTTGAGCAAGTTACTTAGCCTCTCTGTCATTCTATTTCCTCATCTGTAAAATGAACATAGTAACCACCACCATCTCATAAATTTAAATGAGTGAATACACGTTAACTTGCTTTGCACAATATTTGACTGACTGATAGAGGTAATTGTTAACTAATGTTATGTAATCAAATATATATATATATATACACACACACATATATACAATATGTATACATTATGCAATATATTAAATCAAATTTTTAAAAAGGCTTGCAAAGTGATGTGCAATCAGTCTGATATAAAGAAATGATCACTGGCCAAGGACAATAAAGGTTGGGACCCCACTCCTCCAACGTTTTTTAGCTGTGTAAAATGGGACAATTATTTTCTTCTTAATGGTTCCAATTTTCTCTTTTCTTTATGTTTCCTTCAAGTTCAAAAATTTTGTGATTGAATTTATTTCTAAAATACATATTTAAAACCTGTTCTACACTGTTGGTGGGAACATAAATTGGCATAGCCACTATGGAGAACAGCATGGAGGTTCTTTAAGAAACTAAAAATAGAACTACCATATAGCCCTGCAATCCCACTCCTGGGCATGTACCCAGAGAAAAGCATGATCCAAAAGC